TAAACACAGAAATCATTTTCCATTAGCATATTCCTAGTGCAGTGTATGTGCTGCTAAGAAACATTTACAAATTAGAAGCATTTACATTCGAATTATCATATGTATTTGTGTATTCATGTACTGAGAAAATGGAAGAGGGATTTTAAAACCGGTTGCCTCTTTCCTCCCCACTTTCTCAGTGTAAAATATCCTCTCCAAATGAATTGCCTCTGCTCAAGCAATGTGCCTGCGTGGGATCCACTAAGGTCTGTAGCAATATACAAGAGTGCTGAGTCCACACAGCAAATTCCATTGGAAGGACCAGGCATGAAATGTAATTAATTTTATGAATGCAAATAGTCTGCTGACTTTCTGGGAGACCGTTTGCTCAATGTGATGAATACACTAAGTATGTCTGTAAAGTTTTTCAAGGCTGAGCACTTTGACTACAAAATCTTTGGCATTTATGTAAATATGTATTGAGCACAATACATTTTAATCCCAGTGGAATTCTCTGGATGCCCATATGGTCATCCAAACAATTAATGTTTTTATCCTTTCTTTGGAACTGTTGTTCTCTTCAGAATTAAAAGATAAATGGGTCACTTGCAAGAAATGCAAGAAGTTGGGTCTGGCAGTTATTTCATTTTCCTTTTCATCTTTGCCCAGAATTAGATATTCAATTAAGAATAGCTTAATTACAGAACAAATATGTGTCAGGGGGTGTCATTAAAATTGGAGCATGAAGAGTAGCTCACACTTGGAATATGCCTACTTTAATTTGCAATATGGGCTAAAAGAGAAATTTGTATTTGCATTGTTGGAAAGTGCATTATTGTGACTCTTTTTTGTGTAGAAGAGTTAGGTAGTTCCTTTGTACCATGTATAGACCACCAGCAGCACAGAGTTCAGTCAGATATTCATGGGTCTTTATGGAGACAAAAACCACATTTGTAACTGCTGACTGACAAGAAAAAGGATTTTCAGTGATGTTTGCAGGGCAAGAACAGAGAAAGTAAAATAAACAACTGAGCTGATAATCAAATATTCATCACAAAAATAGGGGCAAGAAAGGCATTCACTATGGGTCAGGGATCTAAACTGCCCAGATTCACCTGATAGTTTTACAATGGAGTACTCCACTGTGAGTAACAAAATCAAATATTTAAATTGTTATTGAAAAATAAAGCACCATCTGCAGAAGTCCCATGGACATGCAGTCTTCCTGGGCTCAGTAATTTTTGTGTGAGAGCAAGGAAAACAAGATTTCCCTCTCTTTACTGCCTTCAAATCCTTTGCATATCCCCATGCTGGGTCATGAAACATATGGCAAGCAGAGGTTCATCAGTTCCATCTTTGCAGATTTCCTTAAGAATGCATTTTGAAGGGCTCCAAGAAAAATCTTGCATTAAGAAAACATTGAAAGTTCAGTTCTGCCTCACTCAGTCATGGTAAGAAACACCTTCCTGCATGATGAGTCCAAATTCCCTGCAAGAAACTACTACTTCTCCCTCAGCCTGAGACAGAAGCACAGACTCTGTCTCAAAACCTGTGCCATCCATCTGTGGCAAAAATCACTGTGGTCCACCTAAGTCTAGAGATCCCATCAAGCTGGTACACTCAAAGCATATGGCTATTATCCTAACCAAGTGTCGTGTCTACAGTCTAAGTGACCCTGTACTCATCCATCACACTCAGCTGGTGAAGAAGCCATGTGCATGAGTCCTCTGAAACACTCAGTCACCCATGGCCTTAACTGTAGCTCAGCCATCGCTTGTGTTACCACAAACCCTAAATGTATATGAGTACCTTCTTATACTGCTAAGAAATATATTCCTTGACCAGCAGGCCTTGCAGATGCAGAGGCCAATAGTACACACCTGTGATGGTGAAGCTGCAGGAAAAGAGACCCAGAGAGATCAGCAGTGCCTCAGTCCAGAAGTTAACAGAGGTCTTTGTCATTCTTTTAACACCAGGGCAGGACCTGAAACAGAAAAAAATGTCATTTACCTTCAGCCTCAGAGAGAGAGGAACCATTCTGGATTAAACACTGCTATTAATAGTAGTCATTTGCCTTTAAGCAAGCAGTAAATGCTATGAGTTTGAGCCTTCTTGTTCACAGTTTTGGAAAGGCATGAAACACCAGAAACTCTGCTATTAACAAAAAAAAATCTCTTCCACTTCAACGCTAGGGCTTTCTCCATTCCTACGAAAATATATGACCATGTCACCTGGGCTGGCATTAAATGGGAAAACTACTGGTACTCAGGAAAGGAACATACTTTTACAAGACTTTACCTTACTTAATGGCAAGTTTCCTGACAGTTGCTGTGCCCCAGAATAATATTGCTTTCTTAGGGATGTTACTCCTGGGGACCACTGAGTTGCACATTGTTTTCAAGAAAGGTTCCTCATGGAACTGCACATTCAAATGATAAAAGCTGTTATCACAGAGAGCCTGAAGCATTTATGTCCCTACTCTTGACCTTTATTTCACTGTTTTTACTTACTTAGCTTTCTGCTGATTTAATGCACATGTGCATAAAAAGCATACTGATGATCAGATTTCTTTTGCTATTACCTCATTACAGGTGTACGGTAACTCTAGGAGTTCACTTGACAACATCTTGATATTATCTTGCCTAAGCACTGATGATCCTTTATGGCTGAACTTAATTGCAAGAGACATCTGGCACCATTAGTTTTGAATTTGTGGTTTGAGAGTTCACCTACAAATACAACTCTTGTTGCCACAGGAATTGGTCCATTTTGTTGTATCATCTCTTTGTCACATAAACAAAAATGTAACTGATCTGTGCAGTAGATGAAATTTCTTAAAGCAAAGACTCCAGGCAGAACCTTAGCTGCTGGACCATAGCCTGCCCCCACTTTCCCTTCTTACTGGGTTCTCTTAAATTATGTCAGGGGGTGGTGGGAAATCCTTCCACACATTTACTTGCCAGCAAAACATGGGTTGTAAAAAATGTCTCCCTGACTTTGCTGAGAATAACTTGCCATTTGCAACATGCCAAGAGGAAGTTGGTCATACTTATTATGTGCAGAGAGCTTCAGCCTTCTTCCTTCAGCATAAATGTGCATTGGCTGTTTGGAGCAAAGGAATCACAGTACAGAGAGAGGCAAGCACTGCACACATAGCTCTTGTACTCCTTTGACTGTGGGCATCCAGCAAGCTGGGCCTCATCCCTGCCTCTCACAAACAGCTGCCAGCTTCTTCATGAAGTGACAGACACACAGAGATTACTGTGGTCCTTTTGGGCTTGTGCTGCTTGGATAAATCCCCATTCTTTGCCTTTGCAGACAACAAGTCCTAGCACGTTATGTAGCCAATATCTAAACAGCTAGCAGTTCTGTACATTGCTCTGCTTAGAAGATATTTACCATGGTCTGTACTTATAATTTGTCCTTTCTTTGTTGTGCCTATTTCGGATTAGATTGTAAACTTTTCAAGATAAAGGACCTATTATTTTGCTACACTTTACAACTGTATAGGCTAGCAGCACTGTGTAGTTGTATTTCTTCTGGGCTTTGAAACACTATTTTGTGTCGAAATTAGCCTTAGATAGTTATTGTGTCTCTACTCCCACTGTGGACGTCTCTTCCAGACTTAAGCTGGTGTTTTCAGATTTCAGCCAAGTTTTGGATTAATTTCTGAACTTCTGTTTCTGTAGATTTCTAAGTGTGCCCAGTTCTCCAGTTGTAGCAGCTTGGATGCTGGGGAATTTTTAAACACTTTTTTCTTCTCTGTTAAAAACTTTGTATTGTCTTAGTCTTCACTTCAAAATATTATCATGCAACTGTCTAAAATACTTTTTATGATTTTGAAATCTTTCAAGGATTTCAGCTGGAAATATTTGACAGACATCTGCTACATTTTATTTCCACAGGATAAATCAATTAATTAAGCCTAAAGAGCTAAGAATAGAACAGCAGTAAAATGAGTTGTGAACTACTTGCTTAAGCCTCAGAGCTCCATACACCTTTCCTAATGAGTCTGTTTGTCATGAAATGAGAAAGAAGAGTTCTTTAGAAGACCAGCAAAAATACTGGGCCAACAGAGGATGTATGGAGTGTTTTGACAGAGTAACTTGAGTACAGCAGCAAGTCATTAAACTTAGCAAAATGGTGAAGGAAAGGTTTGCTACAATCCATAGCCTGGAGTGAGGTCGCCAACTAAACTCACTTCATGGCAACAGAAGTTGTCCTAGACTGATGAGAAAGTGTCCTCTGACAGAGGTCAGCATTCCTCTGCCTAAACAGGTCTTTCAGGCTTGTCAAGGAAAAAATATGTTAGCTTGACTTGCTTGGACAAATTACACGATAGCATGTGGCCATCAGCACTGTGAAACATTTTGTGGGTTATAAAATGTTTAACTGACCATTTAAATTCTAGAAATATTGCATTTGTAGCAGCAATCAGCTCCTCAGAGAGGAGGCAGCAGAGTGTGAAACCTGAATTCCAGCAACAGAGAGGCTGAAAGAATAATTAAAACTAGAAATAACTTGGAGCTGCTAGAAATTATATTCAAGGTTTGCCATACAGGAATAATTTCTATACTTATGTAGACTTGTGTGCATGGACGTGTATGTAATGACAATGTCATAGTTTCCAAACAGAAAGACAGTTGCCAAATCTTGTTCACTAGCTATCATAATTTGCCAGAGTGAACTGTTTTTAAATATTCTCTGAGGACTTCTGGTCATAAATATTTCCAAAAAGTATGCACTTAGCTCATGACAATCAATATCACAAAACAACACTATATCTAAATTAGCAAAGTAGAGAACTCTTACTTATTGATTAACCCCTAATGTTTCTTCTGTCTAGTGCTCCAGGTCTGCAGCTTATATGGTAATAGTATTTCTGGTTTCAGGAAGTGTGCATCCTGATATTGCATTTTTATGTAGAAGAATAAATACTCTATAGCATATTTTCTTATTGAGGAAACTCTTTTGACTTGAGGAAAAAAGTATCCTCCTATGAATTTCCTTTAACTTTACAGGACACTGCCTTTCTGAGAACCAGTATCTCTCCTGGACATTTCAAAGGACTACACAGAGAACTTACTTTTTTCTCAAGGGACCTAAGATACTGCATTTGGACTTTTAAGTCAGTTCTAGTATACAGATGTGGACTTCAGGTAGAATGAGCAATGCAAAGAACTTGTTTGGACTTGGCATCTCCTTGTATTTTTGGGGACTGATGGACCTTACAACAACTGTGCTGTCAGGAAGTGCCAGGCCCCTCACTGAAGGGCAAGAAGACAACCTGTCAGACAAGCTGCATCAACGTATGAAGAGGAGCTGGGTGTGGAACCAGTTCTTTGTTCTGGAGGAGTACACGGGAACTGACCCTCTCTACGTCGGGAAGGTAAGACCCGCACCGGGAGGATATCTGGCAGAGTATATACATCTGTATGTCTGTGGACTGTGGTGAGACACGGGATGTTTCCCTAAATGCCTCTACCTTCTTTCAGGCAGTGAATTTATCCACATTAATTTCACTTCTGCTCCCAAGAGCTTTTGCCCCCTGTCACCTTCATTTGGGAAGAATTTCTGTTTCAAGGGGCTGTCGATATATTTTCCTATTTCAAAGAGATCTGCTGCATCAATCATCATCTGTAATTTGAGGTAGTGTTGGAAAATCTGCAGCGATCTTTCCAGGGACTCTACAATGTCAAGGCAAAGCAAGGTTATATTGACATATACGGATTAGGAAAGAAAGGAAGAGTTTGTGATCATGCTTCTATCCATGATCAAGTCAGCTGGAAGCTGAAACTCACAATCAAATTAAATAGCCAGTTTCCCTTGAAAACTGACATTTCAATTTTTGCTTTCTGCAAATCTCTAGGGTCAGAGTATCTTCTGGCTTACCACATCTTGACTGCAGGTTAATTCCGTGGACTACAGAGAAGTTGCTACAGATCTGGAAGAGTAGAGGGACAGCTCATTAGATCCAACCATGAAGAGTCCTATTTTTTGGTCCCTTATACCCCAAGAACCTACACATCAGTACAAATAAGTGTAAAATGTACTCCTGAGCTCATCCTATTTACTTGGTAATATTTTGCATTTACTTTTCTGCAGCTCCTTGGTTAATAAGCTGATGGAAGTCAGATCAGTGATGTCTGCCATTATAATTTACCTCACTATAACCATTCTCTTTCTTTATTTTCTGACTGTTTTTAAAGACCTTGAATTGTTTAAAGTATTGACTCTGTTATTCAAAGGTTTATGGTCAGCATTAAGTTTGCTTCTATTCTACACCAAGGTGACAAATTGGACATTGGGGATGGGGAGAGTAAGTGTGCTTAAGTGTTTGAACAATACAATTAAGTTTTTACATATCTAGAATATCAGCTACTGCTATGATGAGTGGATACTAAATATAGGTATATATGAAAAATAAAATCTAAGAAAGGATGACAGAAAAAAATCCTTCAGATTTCATCGCTTATTTTTTACATGATATAAGCTCCTTTTTTCCCCAAGCTATACATGTTCAGGGGGGAAAAATTACGTATCCAGAGGCCCAGTTTGGTCTCTTATTTATCATTCTACAATCCCATAGAGCTAAGCTGTGCCCCAAAGTCATACCAGTATAAATCAAAATGAATCCACGGGCTTCAAAAGACCTCCTCCTGATTTATCCCTGCGTGATTGACAGCGAGATGTGCTCTCCTTCCTCCCACAGCAATGGTATTACTAGTGATTGCCACCAAATGAGACCTCATTAGTCTTCATTCATCTGTGCACCTAGCTTTTCAGCTCTTGATATCTCTATTGATTAAAGAAATTAATATTTGTTTTCATGCAATTTCCAGCTTTGGAACAAGGGCCAGGCTTATTATTTCACATACTCAGTTAATCTAAAATGACTTCAGGCTTCCACTGTGAGCCAAATTTTAGCTAAAACAAATACTGGGAGAAACCGGCTCATCTTTGTTTTACACTTGATGGTGTCATTAGGAGCACAAACACTTGGCGCAGTCGGCAACACTTGAGCTCGCCGCCACTCAGCTCTGCCGAAGGCAGGGAGGCAGAGACAGCTCTTCATGGTCTGTGCCCGCCACACAAAAGCCGAAGCTGCTGTCAGTGAGCTCTCTGCAGGGCTGCCTTCGCCACGGCTGTGTTAGTACAGGGATGTGCAAGGGCCAATTAGCTCCCACGGTTAACAGGGCCAATTAGTCCCACGCACTGCTGAGCTGAAATGGCTGGATCGCTCTGAAGGCCTCCTAACTCAGCACTGCTCCGTGCAGTCCCGGCTCCAGGGAACTCTGCTGCCAAAAGGGGCCTCAGGGGGTCACACGTTTCATCTTCTCCCATCCCTGAACTGGGCGCACAGCAGCCAGCCGAGCAGTGGGATGAACGCCGGGGGGACTGCTGTGACGCAAAGGCTTCCCCTCGCCTCATACAGCCGGAGGCGCAGGCACTCAGAAGCAGCAGCAGCCTCCCACCAAAAAAAAAAAAAAAAGTCGCCTGCCTGCGTTCGTGCTGCCTGTGTCTTAGGGATTCTTAGGCAAGGAGTCAGCAGGGAATAGACTGTGGGCTGAATTAATTGTTCTGGCAGGCCAGAAATTTTTCAGCCCAAATCACCCCAGGCTGACTCAAAAATAGCTCTGTAAAAGCTTGCGTGGAGTGGGGCAGAGGTGCAACAGGGTTCCCAGTCTGCTGCTGGCTGCTCGCACCAGCCCTCCAAAACAGCCCTGAGTCCCACACCAGGCCAGGCAGGGTCTCTTCTAACTGATACCACCCAAGACACCCTGAAACATCCTGATAGCCAGGCCTTGCTTTTATGCATATGCTCTCTCCAAGCCCTTGACAGAAGGAGAAAGAATGCACAGCATAGATCCAGTTGTACAGCTTTTTCTGGCTGGCTTTGCATGACTGGAGTAACCAAAAAAGCACCTTGACTTGAACCATAGGTCCAGGCTTGCCTAATATGATTTCCAAGGCTGCTATGGCTCTATAAACTTTCCTATGTAACTGTAAGGCAAGGCGCAAAATATCTTCTAGACAGAGAAATGAAAAGAAACTTCCTGAGGTGAAGTTAGTACATTCTTTGCTTTCCTCCAGTGTTCATGACAGTGATTTAAAGCACTTCAGCTTCAGAGGGTTCCTGGTCCTGTCACAGATAAATGCAAGGCTTCAGTTTTCCTACAGGTAGCCATTATTGGCTAATAGGATGAACTAGGGAAACCAAAGCCCCTTCATTTGCGACAGCAGGTATTTTCCACATTGATCCATCAGTCTAAACTGTGTCAGTAATTGAACTGGGGACAGACTTCACCATTTTGCCATTTTGGAGGCTCCCCAACCCTGTTTCAAAGGAAAGAAGTATTTGAAACACTGCGGCTGAATGAGCAAGTAAAATACGTCCTTTCCACAGACTATCAATGCAGATCAACCAAACTCGCTCACACATTCTCTCAAAAATCCCCTGCAGGTCCTACCTCCCTGGAGGCAGAGAAGGGAGAGAAAGTCACAGACCAATTAGCAGAGCTGTGCAATATCTCCCATGAGTTGCTCACTGCAGCACCAATCTCTTCCACATGCCCTTTGCCAGGAAATATGTCATTCTGATGCTGATGTAGCCTCCTTAATTTCTTGTACTATTCTCATCAAAAGAAGCAACCCAGCTTGACAGTTAAAAATTTCTCAGGAGTTATTGGCTTTATTCCTCCAATACTCATTCCTTAACATGGAGGAAAAAGGAAAAATGAATTCCTCCTACTCTGTGTCAGCCACATGGCAGCACAAATTATTGCACCACCCATAAAACAGAGCTGACTTAAAACTACATTACCTTTCCAACACAGTGACTTCTACATACACTCCAAACTACAGCATCCTGATATTAGGTTTGGTGTGAGCTTCAGTCCCTTCAGACACCAAATTCTTTCAGATTTATTGCAGTCTGGCAGTATTATGTTTTATGCTCATTTTTTGATTGTCTAAATAAAGCAGGTTATACAAGAAGCTGCAAAAGTGCTGCTAGCATTTCTTACTGACTAGCATTGGTTGAGGCCCAATGTTTTTAACAAATCACAGTAAGACAGAGATCCTCTTGTCCTCCCAAATTCTTAATAGTGTGCCATGTTCATTCCTTGTTTGGTCCCTTCACAACTGCATTCATTCCAAATACGGCTTTGGACAGAAAGTGTAATTTAACCCATGAGTTTGATTCAGTATCTTCTTCTAAGTCTTTTGAACATTCCTAAACATCTACTGCTATTTTAAAAAATGTTCCTTCTTTCTCTTTTTCTTCTTCTTTTTCTTCCTCTTCTTCTCTTCTTCTTTTTCTTTTCCTGTTCATTTTCCCTTCTCCTTTTTCCTTTTTCTTTTCCATTTTGTCCTTCTTTTTTAATTTCTTTTTCATTTTTCTTTGCCTTTTCTTTGACTTTGAATTTGACTTCGAATTTGACTTCGAATTATTTCCTTTTTCTTTTTTTTTTCTTATTTAATGAGGACTTGTTGATGTTCCAAAACACATTTTCTTCCATCAAGCCCAGCTCTAATTCCCCAATCAGATCTAACATCTGTATCCATCTCAGCATCTCCATTCTTTCACTGGTGCAGTGATGCACTAAAACAAATGCCCAAAATATAGCTTAGTGGTTCTGAATCAATTTGAAAAGCTGTAGTAATGTCCTCCTTCTGGAAGCATCCTGTTTACTGGCTCCTACAGTGATAATGCCTGAGTTATGGGTGTTTAGGGTAAATAATGACAACCACTGTCTTTTTTTAAATTAATCACAACATGATGTTTCCTGAAGATATGCCAGTTTGCAGCCCTGAAGCCTGCATGTGAATTAATACTTGTGGCAGTCATCTAAATTTAACTGTTCACCACTGCCAAATTTTTCTGGGCTTGTTCTTCTACCATTTAGCTAATGCATCACCTGAGAGCTGCTAGCAGTCCTCCAAAGGATTGATGGCTCTCAGATGCAGTAGCCACTGCAGGGACCACTGCCTTAGCAAAGAAGTGAAATATCAGCGACCTGACAGGGCCATCGTCACAACCTGCATGTTCCACACTCACAGCCGCATCGCAGTGCTGCTGCCCTTAATGCTCGCTGTCCCAGCAGTCAGTAAGGGCCGATGGGCCACCTGCATACAGACCTGTCTGCAGGGTGGGACTGGCTATAGAAAACCATGAGATCCCATCTCAGCTGAAATTAGTTTCCTAAAATCAGTAGTGGGTCTAAGTTTTGTGTAGGTCATGTGACCTACCTGAGAGGCAAGGAAGGAAGGCAACCATTAGATAATGAGCATCTTCTGACTACACCCTTCACTGGGGGAAAAGGTCTTGCAGCTCTCCAGTCAGTGGGACCATGTGCCCTAAAGCAGCTGAGGAGCCACTCCTCTGGCATTAGAAATGCCAGATAAATCATTATGTCCACATCCCTATTAAACTTTTTCCTATGTATTGTTATTGTAATTTTTTGTGTGTGTTTTAAACAGTTCAGAGATGTCATATCTTCTTTCTTTCTTGGGAGAATAGCCTGGAATCAGATGTACAAAGTTTGGCTTCTGTTTTCAACACAAATTATGCATTTCTGTTTGGATTGTTTCTTTAAATCCTACCAATCCTGTGTTCATATATTCAGTAAATTATTCTAGAAATTTTCTTTCCAGTACAAATATTTACCTATGTTTGGTCCCATCCTCCAAAATTACTTCCGTATGTCCTTTGAGCTCACTAAAGCATTAAACACATACTTAATTCTGACCATATTTCTGAGATAATTTACTTATATCTGCATTTAAAAATGTGCTTAACTGAATCCAGCCCACTTTGACCACTTTTTTTTTAATATTTGTTCATCTCCCAAAGTGATAATCACACTGGAAAACAGTATTCACATCTGAAACATTTTGATTATTACACCTGAAGTCTATTGCCTTCCTGTCTTTTGGGACTGAACCAATAGCATCTCCTGGCACTGGTCTTTATGCTTGATTCCTCAAAAGCATGGAAGTATGAGCATACCGTTGCAGATTTTCATGGTGTGAGTGAAATCGAGTGATTTGTTTGTCTTTTGATAGTCAATCCAGTATTTCACAGGAAACAGATGCTTAACAAAACATAGTCCCCAGAATGATTTGTTTCCCTGTTTTAGATTATTATTAGCATTGCATTTACTTTTGCTTTGTTCTCTTGCACTCATTGCTATCTGTGGCTGCTCAGAACTAATTAACAGTCATGCAATAAATCTGTTTGATAATTTTTTAGAAAATCTGGGATGTGTCTCATCTCTGTAGCCTGCAATGGACACAATCCAATGTTTCTTGTTGCTTACCTTACCTCCTGTTTCACAGTGATCCTTTCCTGAAGATGTAAGGATTCAGACTAATTTTACTGCTAAAATTTAAATAAAATGAAAATATTTGCCTTATTTGCCCCTATGTTATGCTACCCCTATAATATCTGACTCCTCTTAAGCCATGTGAGCAAGCCCAGTCTGCAGCTTTGCTGACCTCCCTTTATCGCAACCCTACTCAGTGACCATTGCAACCAGGCAAAAGACAATTATTGTGTTGAGTGAGATTACAAACAGACACAGAGACTATTCCTGTTTGGGTGCCTCTGACTTTTCTTCTGGCACAGGTGTGGGTGCAGAAATAGGAAGACAGGAGAGGGGTTTTAATTGCAACTCTGTGATACAAACTTTACTGAGTATCTGCCTCTTTCAGCAAAGCATGTTCATTAAAACCAGCTTGTGAGTCCCAACAGTGAGACCAAAATGCTCAGGATGATCATGTGCTTAGTGTTTCTCAGCAGCTGCTTACCCAGCTCATGGTCTAATTGAATCCTGTTCCTTTCTGCAGCTCCACTCTGACATGGACAGGGGAGATGGTTCGATCAAATACATTCTCTCAGGAGAGGGAGCTGGCATTGTGTTTACAATTGATGATACAACAGGGGATATTCATGCCATTCAGCGACTGGACCGGGAAGAAAGGTCACAGTACACCCTCAGAGCACAGGCTCTGGACAGGCGAACAGGACGGCCAATGGAACCGGAGTCAGAGTTTATCATCAAAATACAAGACATCAATGACAACGAACCCAAGTTCCTGGATGGACCTTATGTAGCCTCTGTTCCAGAAATGTCACCTGTGGGTAAGGCAGACTTTGTGGAGTCTCTTTTCCTTATAAGCAAATTGGAGATGATCACCAAAACACAAATTCCCTGACTCCTAGAACTCAGCTTTTGCCCCTTGTGCAGGAGCTGTAGGATGGAAGAGCTTACCCTGGGTTGCCTGCCCTCCAAAAGAAAACATGCCAAAGGAAGCCCAAGAGCTGAAAAAAGATCAAACATGCTATGCTCAGATAACTCACAGTAAAATAATACCCCTTCTCCCCTGCCATCAGATGGCAGCAATAGAAATGACCAGTAGACAGCCATTACCATCCAGAAAATAACATCAGTTTAGCAAGCTATTCTAGTTCATACCGAGAGCTCAAATACTGTTCAGGAGCCCTTGAAAACATGGGGATATGCAAACAATCCTTACCTCCTTCTAATCCATGTAAGCCTGCACTAAACAAAGTTCACTGAATCCTGAGATTCTAGTACTATTTGTCCTCCACTTTTAGAGCATGAGGTCATGTTGAAGACAGTCCTGTTATTACAAGACAAACAGCAGCCTTCCTACCTACACAAATTAAGAGAGACCATTTCCATATAAGAAATCAAATAATCACACAAAATACTGTTTTTCTGGACTTTTTTCTTTTTCTTGAGTTGCTTTTTGGCTTTTGGTTATTGCTTTTTGGCTCTGTGACATCACTGCAGAGATAATAACATAAATCTCATGTCCTGAAGTTATAGATATGCTTCAACTTCTCATTCTTCAATATTATGTTGACATAAAGCTAGAGAGAAGCATCAAATACAATAGCTACAGTCAGAAATAATGTTTCTTAATGGTAATGGCTAGCTTGAATTCAGGTTTATTTTCTAGTCCTTATCTAGTAATACTGGATTTGTTTCTAACATAAAACATTATGTAGAAGGCTAGATACATTCATAAAGGCATTGTCTGACATTTTAAGGAGTCAAAACTCACAAATATTTCAGTCGTGCTTCACCTTCTCCTTGTTCTTGATAAATTACATCACCTGCAAGCCATTACTAGCTTCAGAGAAAGCAGACCTTGAAAACCAATTGAAGAAAGAAAAATACATTCCTCTGTGTGGGTCCCAAAAAGCACTTCAGCAGTGTATAATCTCTGGGTCATGCAATGTAAACTGCCATCCCACAGAGAGATTATCTGAGAGATACATCCCTTCATGCTCACTGTCCGTACAATTTCCATCCCTTAGTCAATATACAGCATCTATGGGCCTGCGACAACAGTGATTTATGTCAGCATAAATATGGAACTTATTTGAGCTGCCTTTAAATAACATTTAAAATCAAGAAAAGGGGAAAAGAAGCAAGCAGTATATAACTACCATCTCTCTGCAAACCATAACAAAGTACTGTTAGATCAGCAATTCTGTAACTGTGGTCCATACAGTACTTGCTCTTTTATATCTTCTTATAGACACATGATGAATTAATGCCAATTAATTTCTTTAGTGCTAATGAGGTACAAGTATGAACAATAAGTACAAGGACTATGAGCATCAAATGAAGAAATTCAGTGTGGGAAAGCTCCTGTTAGGCATTTCAATTTACTTTGACCTGTGTACTTTTCACGCCAGCTCTTTTTCCCACAAGGTCTTATCTTGATGGTTTTTTTGTCAGGCACCTCTGTTATCCAGGTGACAGCGACAGATGCTGATGACCCAACCTATGGGAACAGCGCAAGAGTAGTATACAGTATTCTCCAAGGACAGCCATATTTCTCTGTGGACTCTCGGACAGGTATGTTATTCCATCAGGGAATGAGTCAGTGTGAAAACCAAAAGAAAAAGTTGCAAGCAGAAAGCAAGGGCAGTGCATCATGGCTGCGGACAGAGAAATAAATTTCTATGGCTTAGAGCCAAGATAGAGCAGCACTGTGTGAGGGCTAAAGTAAGGCTGTGGTAGGGAGTTCCTGAAAAAGAACGTGCTTTTTGCAGTGATATATTCCTCTGAATGACCATATTCTGCAGCTGGGGATCTGAGTGGGTTTGGTACTGTAAATACTCTTGCTACCTTCTATTATTGCAAAATGTCTTCAACAGATCTAGTTGATAACAAGGCTTAGTGGAAAAAAAATCTATGAGCCAACCAGGACTGGAAAGTGCAAGCTAAAGGATGATGTTCTTAAGAGTAGTTTTACTTAAGGGTGTTCTTGTTAATAACCTTAAATTTATCTATAGGACAACCTCTTTGTTTTGCTTGCTTTCTCTCTCTCTTTTCCGTATATGTCCAAGGTTTATATTCGAAAGAGGAATCTGACAGATTTTGACAGTTTCTAAAGGGCATCTGTAGTGCTAAGGTCAGAAACTCATGAGACGATAGTCGCTGCTGAGCCCTAGGGAACAACATAGAAAAACACTGCATAATCTACTTCAGAAAGTTAGCAGTTTACAGAGTAGATGCTCTAGCCAAAGACAAACTTGTATGTGATATGTTATTTCCTCAGCTTTATTTATATTTACAATATAAATATACCAGTAATGTTGCTTTTGTAATCTGGTTATCAACCACAGAGTGCAACTTAGACAGAAGATAGGCCCTTAAGTCCAAAATCATGTACATTATTGGTATTTTAGCCAGAAAATGTCTCTTTCTCCACTTACTAGTTTCCAATCACTTAGACCTGCATCTCTGAACAGGATCAGAGATGACTGAGCCTTTAGCTGCCTCAGTGGGCAACAGGAATCCCATTAAGACTAATCACTGTTATGAGCCAGAAATCATTTCCCTATCACAAGCACAGGGCTCTAATCGGCCTGGCCTGTGCAAAACCACCTGAGGGATTTAGTAGCCCACAAAATAAAATTGCAGCTCTGACATTCTTCTAAAATAGAGCTAGAGCATAAACTATCAACAGCTCCTTTACATTGATAGATAGTAATTAAAACACCCAGTATTGGACAATTCATTTCAGTATACTCCTCTTCTAGAAGCATTTAGGATCCTTACTGTTTACCTCCTAACACAACTTCTTGGTTCCAGAAGTATGCTCCTGTTCGTATTCTGTCACTGGCCTCACAGGTGCTGAACAAACGTCTATGTGAAAGCACAGATTCAAAGGAAAGCTGAGAGCCTCCTCCTCCCTTTTTTCAGAATACTTTTACAGCCTGACCACAAACATATTCCCTTAGAAGATAAAGTAGATTTAAATCCCTTCAGGCAGATAGGCAAAGGCCCCTGAGTCTCCCACTTCCCAAGAAATCATCTGGCTGTTATAGAAAAGAAAGGACAACACTTCTGCTCTTTACTACTTGTTTTAGGAGCACAAACCTCACTCAGTTTAGTGAAAGAAATGGTGCCAGCACATTTATTTTGGAAGATCCAAGGGTCTGAAGCTTTCCTATAGCCTTTCCCAAAGCCCTAAGGAATGTTTTAATGTTCGCCATCATTCTTAGCATTTCTTTGCTGACTGGTTGTGTGCAGCAGCATCAGATGTTCCTTGCTCTGCAATGCTGCTCCTCTGGGTCCCCGATCTGGCTTGAGTCTTGGTGTCCTGGATTGGCCCTTCTCTAGGGACCAGAGGCCCCAAGGACAGACATAGCAGAGCCTGAGTTTGAGGCCCTGATGCCTTTTTTTAGGTCAAGTCTGTTCTGTTAATGACAAGCCAAGAGTGGAAATTCTCTACAAAGTGTTCATATATGGAGAAAATACTTCCCAAAATGCTAAGCATTTTCATATCCTATTTATATCCATGGGAGTTAAGGAGCTACAGCACTTCACAGGAGTCAATGAGCTTTGCAGGATGGGACTCTGAAGGACTCCATGCAGCAAGATTAAAATAGCGCACTGCAAGTTGTTCAGTACTGGTCACTATTTCTTCCCTTCTGCATACAGTGATAATTGCCAACGCAATATCTTTTTACTGCTTTTTTATTAAACCCATATGTTGTCTTTCTGCTAAAAATAAAGACTAAATGCAGATCACACAGGTTAATAGTGTCCTGATGTGCAAGTTCTGCGTGTTGAGCCGTGTGACTGTGATGGTGCCTGTGGTTGCCACATATTTGCCCCCACCCAGGAGAGCATCCCAAATGTAGCAAGCAAGTGCCTTTGGTGCCCTGGGGCGTGTCCCCTGGCAGCTCATCCCCGGGCTGCACCAGCGGCCACTGCATCTCTCCTGCTTGGGGACTGTGGGGCAGTCATACCGGAGGTGCTGGAGGCGTGAGGAATGGGTGGAGCTGGGAGGATTGGAGGGGGGACAGCGCTGAGACGAGCAGCTATACGGGGGGCGGCAGGAGCGCTCGGGAGCGCGGCAGTCCCGCGGCACTGGCAGCGCTGCCCGGGCCGGCTCCTCGCAGCCTTCATAAGAGAAGTGTTGCTGCCACCTCATGTCCTCTTGCAGTAGTGTTACCCCGAAGGAAAGGGACGCTCTGCGGTGTGGCAGGAGTAAGGTGACCCCTTCGGAGCGGGCCCAGCCGGCCCGAGACAACTCCGTCTCCCCACATTCTGCTCTCGTAGTCCCAGCCTGGGTCCCGACAGACTGAAGCAAAGCCTGCGGGGTCATGTCAGGTGGCCTCCAGGACCGCGTGTCCAGGGACACTCCGGAAAACTCGTCTTGATGTGTCTTTGAACTGAGCGTATCACTTCCTGCTTTTATGGGGAGATAGTTAGCCCGAGCAGGACCTTAATTTGACGTAGCACAGTATTACCAAAAAGCTTTTCCTGGGAAGGCAACATTTAAATTTTGAACAGACAGCCTGCCCCAGAGCTGATGCGTTTTAGCTGGGCTTCTTTAAAATTCACACCTTCTGTTAACCTAGATTCCACTTGGGTGAGTTTTACTCTGCCAGAAAAGCTGGAATTGAATGCAGAGCCTGGTCTCATTCTCAACACAGGGACTGCGATGCAGGAGCAAGAGCCCTCCACATTTTTTGTGTACCCTTTAACTGCCATTTTCTTTTGTTTCCCAAACCCCTTTCTACCTCAAATCTCAGGCTTAATTAGAACAGCTCTAATGAACATGGACCGAGAAGCAAAAGAATATTATGAAGTGATTATCCAGGCCAAGGATATGGGTGGACAGCTGGGAGGATTAGCTGGAACAACCACAGTCAACATCACCCTCTCTGATGTCAATGATAATCCACCCAGATTTCCACAGAGTGAGTACCCACTGTGCCAGAACGGGCAAAAAACGGTGGATGACTTCTATGTCTGCTGTTTGCTCTCATGACAACCATTTTCAAACTCAGGATAGTGACAATTAGAGAGGGGTGGAATTTCAGATCATTACAAAACTCTCCTTCAGAAAAATGTCTTTCAGAAAAGGCTTCTGACCTCCAAGATTATCAAAACTGACACTTTTTTTTAAAGGGTGGGAAATTGGTTTACAGAAAAAGGCAGGAAGGAGGACTTTTGTGTTCAGACTGATAATGGCCATTGCCTTTGGCTACTAATTGCTGCCCTGGCTGTCTCATCATCCTATCTCCAGAAGGATGTCTGTCAAATCAGGGACATGTGGTAGTGCTGAAAGTTGAAAGATAATTCATTCAACACTCCAGCCAGGCCACAGCAGGGGAGCATCTTGTAGCTGTGCTGCCAGTGTGGAGTGGGTTGTCATACAGGCTGCTCTCCAGGAAAGGTTCATCTAAAACTTGGCAGTGTACAATTAAACCTTAAGATATGTAACAACCACAGTTAATGGAATGCAAAAACAGGCAACTCCCCTCTTATCAGAAACACTACTTTGTATTTACAAAAGTGAATTTCAAACAAGATTTGCAATTTTTTGCTCTTTGTTTTTAAGATTTTATCACATTTATTTACATAATTCTATATTACTGTTAAAAATTTGAAAGAAACTTTTCAATTTTGATTGAACTAAATCTTTCAAGGGATATAATTTGTGGGTTTTTGAAGTTGATTCTTTTAGTGGTGTTAATCAATCTCAAGTCATTTTGGTTTTGCCATTTTTTTCATCTTGCTGAGAAATGAAAACTCCTGCAGTTATTTTTGTTTCTATTCTTCTTCTCCATCTGTTTCTGCATGTTGCACTGATAAATCAAAGCATTCCAGTAAGATCAGCAAGAAGTCTCAACTTCCACATTTTTTCTTCTGTCAGAGCAAGTTGTTGAGTACACCATTGTCAACTGTGTTTTGAAAGTGGCATGAATTGTAGCTGATATCAAACTCTTGATTAAGAAAAATGAGAAGAGATCAAACCCCATTCTTTGTGTTAATCTGCCTTGTAAAGCTCAATAGTTGGTGGAGTCAACAGAGAGAGTACATCAAGAAAAGTTTGAAAATAAAGTCTGATGGCAGAAGAGTATTTTAGATACAACTTTTTTTTCAAAATACACTTTTAAAACAGCAAATCATTCTTTCCCCAGGCTTGCTGCTAAGCAAGGCAGCAAATGCGCTCAGGACAGTATTTGTAGGGAGAGGCAATATATTTTAATAGAGTAACTGGTAAATTTGGAAGACACAGGCAAGCTCCTGAGCTTTGTTCAAGTCTGAAAAGAAGTTTGTAGGGACTTCAGAAAGGATTTATGCTGCTCAAAACTTGTGTTTATTCCTGCTGTACAAGCTGATCTAATAAAAGATACCTGTCCTATTAAATCGGTTTCATATCCTGCTTTATATCATGGCTGCAACAGCACTGGCGTTAATTGCCTTATTTTTCTAGTTGAAGTTCCTATTTTCATGTCTTTTGCAGTTTTGAAAAGAACCCATTTAACAAACCTGTTGATATAACAAACACATAAATAAAACTTTCCTGGGAAATTCAGCTCTTGAAAGGCAATCACACTGCTGTTGCAGTGTTGGGAAAGGTACTAGAGACTCCCTTCAGGCCATGCAGTGTTGTGGGCTGCCCTGATCCAATCTTTGCATTGCTGTGCAGTTTTTGGTTCCCTCTTACAGCCTGTTTTTTTCTTCTCTCTCCCTCTCTGCTGCTTGTGCCAGAGCATTATCAGATGAGTGTGCTGGAGTCCGCTCCTGTCAGCTCCACTGTGGGCCGTGTGGTTGCTAAAGACCTGGATGAAGGCATAAATGCAGAGATGAAATACAGCTTTGTGGATGGAGATGGCCTGGATGTCTTCGACATCAACACTGATCCTAATTACCAAGTTGGCATCATAACTGTGAGAAAGGTGGAAAAGTTTCCTTTTTATAGTAATTCATATGGCTAACAGTCCTGCTTACATTTTATGTGTGGAATATTCCCTTATGCCTTCAGGAACTTGGTTCCCATTATATGACAGTAACCCCTTTCCTGTTATAAACTATAATTTCTTTAACATTTATTGCTAAAATATGAAAGCAGACTGTGTTCCTAGGAGCCACTTTTATAAAGTGGGGACAGCACATTAGCATAAACATGTCTTTTCCCTCTGAAGGAATGTTCTGATTCACTATTTATCTATTTAAATATTCTCTGTAGCTTAATTATCCTACAATGCAAGAAATTAGATCAATATTTGCATTTGAACTGTACGTATTTTTTACTCTGGTGTTCCACAAACAATAATAAAGCATGCCTTAGAATTATTTATAAACCAATAAAACCCAGGCAGTGTTGTTTTTTTTAATTGCTGCTTGAAGATCCATAAATGCTAATTAGGCTAGAAGAAACCGACGCTAAAATGGCAGCTGTGAAACTGCTAGTACTCTGTACTGCAGGCTATGCAGGAAGGCATAGAGTATTTTGCTTAGGCTCCCTGCTATAGGATATTTATTCTACAATCTTACATAAATGTTAGAAGTTCAACTCTGTTTCTAGGTTATGAAATTGTAACCATATTTCTGCTTAAGCATATCTAGTGTACTAATAAGGAAGTATAGTTTCCATTTAAATAGCCTGGGATTAAATTGGGCACTAAAATGCAACAATACATGGGAGAGATTTGACCTTGCAAGCCTCTATGCCCTAGAGCAAAGCATTTAAGCTTGTATTTATGGTCACCTTTCCCCAACTCTTGTTTACGCATAGTAGTCCCTAAAGCTAAGCATGTTTTCTGGAATGAAATAAATGTTGAATGCAAACTCTAGTGTAATTTTTCACTCATTTACTGATTAAAACAAATAATTTCTTTGGAGTAAATGTGTCAATAAGCTTGACTTTTGTTGTTGTGAATAGAGTTTTGCTAGATGACATTAGGTACATACTGCTCAATCCGCCTACTGTACATAAATGTTTGTAACATTCAATATAGCCTGTAGCTTTATGTAATGTTATTATTATCAATAGCCAAGCATTGAGAAAGTCATCCTTTGAATCCACTCAAGAAAGAAAAAAAATTAATTCAACTGGTGTGGACAGAAAAGGATGTCAAAATGGGGGGAGAGAGAGAGAGAATTTCTAAACCCAGAATGAACTCTTATTTAAAAGAAAACAAAAGTTTCTGTTTAATTTTTCTTGACAGATTTCCCAAATGAAATAACTAAGACTCCTGTCATGGGTGTCAGAAAGCCAGAATTTACAGTTACTGATAAGACCACTGCTTGTGGTCTCGTGGCCACTTTTCTTAGCCCACTAATCCCACAAAATGTTGAGCACCTCCTGAAGAGCTACAGGTCGTTCCAAGCTCCCTATCTGTGAGACTAATGCTCACCCTATCTCCCTCTTCTCCCTGCATTCCCTTTCGCATTGCCCATGGAAGGCAGAGTGGTGCGTTACCCAGCCAGTACCCAGGCACTCAGGATAGCCCTCCCCTGCCTTCCTCCCCTGATGCTACCTGATCAATCACTTTCTCACAGCGGGTCTTGCTAAATCCCTCCTGCATGGTGAACCTCTCAGTGCCTATCTCAGCACTGGGGGAAGGCGGGCAAGGACAAGGAGTAATTTCCATGGGTTGCCTCTCCTCTTGGGTGTGTTTTGCAGCATGCTCAGTTCACAGGAGAAGGTAATCTCCTTGCCTTCCCCATGGGACAAGTATTGGAAAGAGGTTTAAATGCACCCATGGGAGACAAATCTGATAAGAGGGCCAGTGGTATTGAGGCACTGGCACAGGAGATAAACAGAAGGGAAAGCCATCTTTGGCAATGAAGGAGTCCAAGGCCAACAGGAGCATCAAAAATGTGATGGTCTAGCACACTTGTTTGATTTTTCTCATTTTTCTAACTTGATTATTCTAGGTGATTATGTGTTTTCATAATGTAGTCAAATTTTATAGCTATTAAGTTTGTCTGTGATTTAACTGCCCTTTTTATAACTTACCTTTTTAGTGTACATGCAATGTTTCTCATGCAGTTTTCTTCCCATGGGAATCCTTAAATATTATGGCCTCTTTCTTAATATATGTTTAGGCACCTTTGCATTGCACATTCCTTGCCAGATGGACAGTAAGTTTTACTCGGTCCTGTGAATCTATCTTACTGCTATTTTTACAGTGCATAAATATGCAACTGGTAGACCATAATGGCTCTGCAGTAATGAGTATTATGTTTGTGGATCTTAACAAATCCTCGCTGACAAGCACTATGCCTGCAGTTGTCACTGATGTACCAGGTGGAACTGAGGGCAGCAGGAGCAAGTTTCAGATCATCTGTTTGCACCTGCTGCCACAGTTTGCACAGTTCATACTGTATCACTCACTGTCCAGCATCTCCAGCAAGACTGGACTGTCATGTCCCCAGAACAAAAAACCAGTTCCCATTCCAGTCTTCATTCCTCACTCCCACATACTAAATGTTGAATTATTTTCAGTTTTATAATTTCAAGAACCCCAGTCTTTAAGCAGGCATTCCTATGCAGAACATTAGTACTGGTACTAATTGTGAAAGCATGAGCTTTTGTATGTCCCTGCAATGTTTCTACAACTCAAGAAGGAAGTTGTTGTGGCAGTAGATAAGTTCTGAAGACATGACTGAATTCAGGGGGTGTTCAAGTTTAGATTGGATATTAGAAAGAGGTTCTTCACCCAGAGGGTGGTTGGGCACTGGAACAGGCTCCCCAGGGAAGTGGTTGTAGCACCAAGCCTGGCAGAGTTCAAGAAGCATTTGGATGATACTCTTGGGCACATGGTGTGAATTCCTTTCAACTCAGCATATTCTGTGGTTCTGTGATTCTGTGATCAAAACTCCCCAGATTATACAAGTAAAGGGTTGTGAACATTTAACCACAGTGTAATTGCTTGTAACTTCTGACTGCAACTTGGGAAGTGTGACTGTCCTCTATAAGCTGTACTTCATCTGGTGAAAAATTTTTTATATTTTGGGCTGATCCATCCATACTGTCATTCTGGTTTGTCAAATTCTTTTGATTATTCTTACCAAGACTGGTAAATTGCACATTAAATGTGGAATTCCCTATTTAGTTCTAAGCAGGTTTTGGAGACACCTTATTTTCTTCAAGTATCTGTGGAAAGACGAGGGGACAGAGATGAAAAATGTATTTATTGAGCAGTTCAGTGTCAGCATTAATTAATCCTATATCCATGTACAGCAAATACGTAGTTTTATCTAGATAGGAAATCTAATTCATGAAACTACTAACAGAGGAAGCTGGCCCCCTTTATCCATTAGAAAGGGGAAGGGGAAGGGGAAAGGGAAAGGGAAAGGGAAAGGGAAAGGGAAAGGGAAAGGGAAAGGGAA